AAAAAAAGTATGCTCTTTGCTGACGAACTTTGACCTGCATTTATGCTTCTTACCTCATGTATTGTGTCTACTGGTGTTTTATTTCTCCCTCATTCTTTCCTCCACTTATCCCCCCTTCCCTACATACAGAGTTACTGGGCTGTGAAATGTGAAAAACTGCCGCATACATGGCAATTCATTATCTTGTCAAACTTCCCAGAGCCAGCTTCAAGCCACAGGGAGAGAGAAAGAGATAGGGAGACATTAGAAAAAAATCCAGTTTATGCAGCAGTCTTTGCACTAGGGCAACGGGTAACCAACGTTTAATACAAACTCAATAAACTAAATCCCTCTTTAAATCCATAAAAGAAACCATCTCCACCTGAATCATTGAGGAGTCAGTGCTAACTTTATACATAACTTTGCAATACACTGTGGTAATGTGTATCCTGTCATTATAAGTCTGCAAGTGGAGAATGTGGATTATACCTGAACTTGCTCCTGTGGGTATTGTCCACAGTGACCATTGCATGTATAAAACATATGTGTAATGTGTATTTGTAAAGCGCTTTGAGCATCTGGAAAGCGCTATAATAAATGTAAGGAATTATTCATTATTACAAGACATTTAAATAATTTGCTGGGATTTGTTGACCTAGGTTTAAGTCATATGGCAGTATTTCCTCCCAGCCTGTGTAGCATACTCCAGCAGGTCCATAGGTCAAACGCTCAGCCTGAGTTATCTCGCAGTGTAGGTAAAGTACAGTGTAAGAAAGAGTTAAGGTTTTAAATAATGCACCTTTTAGGGGCGATACACAACCTGAGAATAAGCTCTGCCCGAGGGCCATATCTTAATTGTGTCCTGGGCTTTTAGCTGGTTCTGAATTGGATGATTTAATGTTGAAAATAGTATTTATTGGTGAGATATGTGAGTATTTCTACATGTGAGGGTTGAAGCACATGCAATGGTTGAATGTGCAGAATACTAAGGGTGTGCTCTAGAGAGGAAGATGCAGGGCTATAGGTTGCAGGCTTGTCAGGACTAATGGAGACACTGTATATCAGTAACACAGGAGCTCTAGCATAGTGCTGTAACGACACCACAGTTATAAATCAATCAGCTTGAAAAGAACTACAGACACAGAGTACATAAACCATGAGGCAGGATGAGACAGACACTGTGAGAGAATCAGTTAGTATCCAAGTACCGTTAGGCATCTCAATGAGCATGGTTACCTGCATGTTGTCTCCATTGACTGTATTGTAGGAGTCTGCTAATGCTCATTTGTATTCACAACAACCACACAAAGCCTAAACCTCTGCTTCAGCTTTCATTTACCAAAAACCCTTAGTTGTCACTTATTCCCTCTTGCTCATCCAATTTTGGCATGGCTCTGCTTTGAAATAAATTGATTATATCTAATTGGGAAGTCTGGGTTTGCCATTTTTTCCTTGGACACACACAAACACACACACACACACACACAACACACACACACACACACACACACACACACACACACACACACACACACACACACACACACACACACACACACACACACACACACACACACAAACAAATCCCTAAAGCCCATAACATCATTCCAGACCTGCATAGACACAGCAATTATATGCAGAATATGGGCTCATACTGTCAGAGGCAACAAGGCTGATAGACAGGCGAAACAGAGAGAGTGGCGTGTGTGTGTGTGTGTGTGTGTGTGTGTGTGTGTGTGTGTGTGTGTGTGTGTGTGTGTGTGTGTGTGTGTGTGTGTGTGTGTTGTGTGTTTTCCACATGTTTAGTCATGATGCAAAGCAGCTGATAAAAGCAGCCAGCACAAGGAAACAGGCCAGGAGCATGATGCAGGGACCGACAGGAAAGATAAATGACACACATATCAGTTTTTTTTTGTTAGTGTTTGTGTGTGTGTGCGTGTGTGTGTGTGTGTGTGAGTGTGTGTGTGTGTGTGTGTGTGTTTCTTTGTCCGTCTGACAGCAAACGGCCAATTACTGTCGAAAGTGGCGGGATGAGTCCTGCCAGACCATAGCTTTCCATTAGTGCATGCCAGCCGAGCGCGCGCGCGCGTGTGTGTGTGTGTGTGTGTGTGTGTGTGTGTGTGTGGTGTGTGTGTGTGTGTGTGTGTGTGTGTGTGTGTGTGTGTGTGTGTGTGTGTGTGTGTGTGTGTGTGTGTTGGAGTGAATGAGGGAATAGAGGGAGACAGAAGGACCACAAGTGGAAAAAGTGTGTGTGTGTGTGTGTGTGTGTGTGTGTGTGTGTGTGTGTGTGTGTGTGTGTGTGTGTGTGTCTAGTCTCAGTATGTGTGTGTTTGTGCACGTGTTTCTGTGTGTGTGTATCTCTCCTCTCTCAGAGATTGTCCCCACTAGTGCGGATACAATTGACAGAACATCGTTTCATCAGCTTTGGCCTTCCATCCACAATAACAGCATTTTCCATCCAGAAAAACTGAGCTCATCTTTAAAACAAAAACAAAACCAATCTCCCACATAGGATTTCAAATATTTGAAAGGTGGAATACTGTATATATGACGTTTTTTTTAAGACAGGTCCATGATGTTGTGAGCCTAGCTTAGCATAGTAAGCAAAGGAAAAATGCTATCCGAAAAAACAAGGAACAAAACAGTCTTCGTGCTTCTGTGCACATGAATAGTTTAGCTCATCTTATTATTTAGAACACAAGAAGCATTCATAGAAATGCCAGGATTCCCCATCAAGACAGTTTTCAATTTCTCCCCAATACCTTTTATTGCCACTAGTATTTGTCATGTAAACAACTGATGGGGATCCAAATAAACGACAAAGTCACTCACAAAAAACATGTGCTTTCATTCACTTTTGGCATTAGTGGCACAAATCTGGTGTCACATAGCTGTCAACTTTCAAACGACACCTTACAGTGTACTCTATTTTAGTTCAACAGTCTATGTATTAGGCTGAAATATGTACAACTATTTTCTGTAAATAAAACTGCGGATCAACTGAGTGGAATTACTCCCCCCCCCCCCCCCCCCCCCCCCCCCCCCTCCAGCTCTACATTCCTGTCTTATAGGCATCCATTCAAACAGCTTATCCAGCAATTCTGTGGAAAATAAGACGTGACATCAAAACCTAAAACTCTATGGAACGTCTCAATCATTTAACAATATGATTACAGATGGAAAAAATGGGTTACAAGGGAAACTATGTGCTGTTGTCCACTAAAGATAGGAAGAGGCAGTAGGAATTTGTGTCAGTAAGACAGTTAGAGAGCAGATATGCAGTCTTGGCTTCATCAGGTCTATGAAATGGCATATAAAGGTGGCAACACACACGAGGCTGAATATAGCTTCCAATTAACAGCTTCGATTTCTCAAGTTCAAGGGGAGGAACTTGAGGGCAAATATTTGTATAGCCTGATTCTCTGTTATTAAATGATTATGTATTTTGAGCATAAATCCTGCATTAACTCCTCATTCAGGTTGTGAAACCTTTACTCTACTCAGAGAAAGGGTATGTTTTATTCACACAAACCACCAAAAGACCACGTGGTCATCTGGGGTACAAAGAAAATCAACATATTTTTCCTTGAATCTATTTTACAAGTACAGTAAATATTTGATATGTCAGATAAAGGTTAGAAGACTGTGGGCGCTCATGCTCAGTCTATATGTGCTCTATAGTGGCTGATAATGCATAATTCAGTGGGATTATCTGCAAACAAACAGTGGCAGATGTGGATATATTATTTAAGAACACGTCACTAGCTATTAAGCATGTGTCCATCTTCCATCGCCATTGTGTGTGTGTGTGTGTGTGTGTGTGTGTGTGTGTGTGTGTGTGTGTGTGTGTGTGTGTGTGTGTGTGTGTGTGTGTGTGTGTGTGTGTGCGTGTGTGTGCAAACATATCAGGCTGACAGACCGGTCTATCGATCTGATCAGTCACCCTAAAAACGGCGTCCTCCGTGATCAGCTCAGACTGAAATACAAATTCACTCCACCACTTTCACCTTCTATCAGCTCAGAGTCTCAACTGTCAATTAAATGCAGCACCAAGTCTCTCTCCGTTCAATACAACAGGACAAAAACGTTGATGGAAAGTTAAAAGAGAGCCAAGTATTTCAACCACAACCACCTTAAAGTTCTGATATTAATGTTAAGGTAAAATATCCGACAACAAATAAGACACTTAAAGGGGTAAAACAGCTGAAATGTGCTTCTTATCAGATCAACGTGGAGCCCTACATGTCTGTCTCCCCTGGTAAAAGGAAGCATCATTTTCAGATTGACCACCTGGATGTTCTGAGTTTAATCAAAAAGCCATTCATATTACCAATACCATAAATATGTATGGGATAAGTAAGTGGAGAAACAGGTACACATTTGATCCTTAACATACCCAAGTGAAGCCCTAAACCTCTTATCTCCAAAATGTCAATATTTAAGAAAAAGCTATTTTTTCTTTTAGCTTTTTTCAGTTTTTCCTGCAGCATTTAAAACCTTTTTTTTTTCAATTGGAATATCATCATGGGGGATTTCACAACGTCATGCTCATGCTTTTACATTAATGATGAAGAGGTTTAAATAAGCCCTACGTAGGTTTAAGGTACATCTAAGGGATAATTCGCTCGTATGGGTCGTTTTTAAGCATTTTAAAATACTGTTTGCCCATTATTTAGTACCATTATTGTATAAAGCTCTGTCTGTGTCCTCTCTCTCCTCCTCCTCCTCCTCCTCACCCTGTGTGTGTGTGTGTGTGTGTGTGTGTGTGTGTGTGTGTGTGTGTGTGTGTGTGTGTGTGTGTGTGTGTGTGTGTGTATGTGTGTTCTCCAGTCAGCGGACCTTGCCGTGCGCGATCTGAGCGAAAAAAAAACTAACGCAACTACACGGGGCTGCTGCTTGCGCTCCGGAGCGCTCTAGTGATGCGAAACACTGAAAACACCAACAAGCTCACACATAGTATTTCATCCCAGTTAAACCCCCTTCAATTTCCCGGAAAAGAAAGAAAATGCATCATATCTGACCTGCTGCCAGTTCTCCTCCAGGGAAGGCATCGCAGAGAAATAACCAGTGTCATGAACGAGTTGGAGTTCCTGGAAAATACTGTAATTCGCCAAAACATCCATGCTTGACGCAGAAAAGGAAAAGTCAGTAAAGAAGTCCGGAATCCAAACGATGAAACGCGCACTTCTTCTTTCCTTCTTCTCAGACTTGTCAGGTTGAAAAACAAACGCTGGAAAAATCCCAGCTGGTGCAGAAGAGCGCACCTGAGCACTTTAATTAAGAAACAAAAAAAGCTAATCGGAAAGAAATAGTTGGATATTTTATCTTTCTAAATGCAAACCCCGCTCCTCTTTACTCGCTCTGTCACGCCTCTCTCCTCAGTCCAGGCTCGGGGGTGCCAGATCTATTTCCGCATTGCCAGATTGCCAATCGGTCTCCGTACAAGCTGCCAGGTTGCCAGGTTTGCTCCTCCAGCAGCAGACTGGACCGCGCTGCAATCCAGGCGAACGGCGCGAGAGGGGAGGGAGGCAGGGGAGGAGCCACCTGTCAGTCAATTTCATGCGTGACCTAATAAGGTAAATAGGGTTGATGATGTCACTAGCGTCCAATTAAGGAGGCGCTGAGACTGAGAGAGTGGGCGGGGTTTCCAGGAATTCAGGGACGCTATTGGCTGCAGGAAGCTGTCAGTCCGGCGGAACATGGCGAAGAGGGGTGAGTTATTTTTAGAGGCCTATATAAAACCGACAGCATTCCGCTCATAGTCACTACAGGCTGCACGAGCGGAGAGGAAACCGCGAGCGCGGCTGCTTCGTGGAAACCGCGACAAAAAGATGTTAAAATGCCTAATAATGTGCTGAAATTAACAGCTGAGCGGCAGAAGCAGCAGCATTGATGTCGGAGAAAAGATGCTGTGTTGTTTTTCTGAGGTGTGACAGCTTCACCACAGCTACTCCATGTGGTTTCCATGTGGTGTCTGTGCGGAGAACAGGGATGCAGTGGAGGAGGGAAGAGCTCAACACGATCCTCCCACCTGTTCACTTTACAACAGTTTATCCTCCTCTCTACACGTACATCCACTTTTATTAGCATTTTCGAAAGCCCCATAATAAATATGTATTCATTCAGCAGTGGAAGAGGTATTTTACTTAAGTAAAAGTAGTAATACTTCACAAGTAAAAGTCATGCATTAAAATATTACTGAAGTAAAACTATAAATATATAAAACTTGAAAATATACTTTAAATACCAAAAGTAAACCTACTCCTTATACAGAATTGCGTATTTCAGCATAGTATAGACTTGAATATAATCATTACCACTTTAATGTTGCTAAAAGTAAGGATGGAATAATTGTAGCTTATGTAATCATAAACTACTTTGTAACACAGCATACTGTATTTGGCACTTTATATTTTGTATTAAGAATTTGCACCTTACTAATGTTATCAAAGTAAAAAATACTATATTCGCCTCTGAAATGTATGAGTATAAAAGTGCATAGAATAAGAAATACTTAAGTTTGTACTTAAGTACTTGCGTAAATGTACCTATAGTTACATTCCATGAGTGCATGTATTCTCTGCAATTGAATTCACTGTTGCCAAATGTCTCTAAACTAATATGCACCATACTGTATAGGCTACTGCTGATCTGTGAGAAGACAGCAGAGTCAAAAATAATGTAGTCATTGTATATCCTACAATATTGTTAATGAAAGCACTTTTTACTTGATTACATGTAATAAGTTACTTTCGAGCTCTGCTAATGATGACCGTATTACAGGAAATGACTCAAGATGTGAAACTGTGGAAACTGTGACTTGTGAACACTACTGCCAGTTTGAAATGAGGTCATTCAAAAATGGCTAATACAGCTATAATCATATCACCTTTGGTAAATAAGAAAAACAAATATTGATGTCAGTCATGTTCCATCTTTAATATAAGAAAAGCTTCTAACCTGCTAAGATAAAAACAGTCTATTCCAAGTTTTTCACACACAGTTAACATAACGTTTACATATTTACTCAGTGAAGCTCTTTTGCCCTGAGATTCATCCATCAGAGTTGAGAGACTGCAGCTTATTTGTTTCCTAAGTACATGAACAACTCACTGACTGTTGCTGACCAGCCCTGTAATAGACACATTTATGTCTGTGCAATGCGGTTATACACTTTTTTTGAAGGTACACACAGCTTCAAAAATGTCAGCACTGCCTTAAATGAAGTAAAAGAAACAGTTTGAAATAACCTCACTCAAGTTTTTTTTGTTTTTGGAACATTTGGTTTGGTGTCAGGGATTTTTAGGTTCACTGAGTTGTTCTCCAATACCAACATGACTGCCTGAACCTGAACTCAGAGGACAGTCAGACAGGATGTATCCTCCGTTTGGTTTGTTATAGAGGATCATAAAACCTTTTATAGGATCAGATGGCAGACATTATTTCCAACCGGCTCTCTAAACGTTTGAAGTGCTGCTGAGTTGTATTAAAGCAGCATTCCTATATTCATAGAAGATGATTGGGCCTGAAGCTTCTTTGTTGCTCACCCTCACACTTTCTTATTGTCTGCTCCCTATTACTTGTCTTCTTTATATCTTGGCATCTGTCTTTCCTTGTCTTGCATCCCATCTTTCCTCTTTCTTTTTACTCATTGATTATGTCATTCTGTACTCTACTTTCACTTCCTCTTTCTTTTCACTTGCTGTCATTCTTTCATGTATTTTCTTTTCTTTCCATTTGTTTCATGCTTGCTTGCTTCTTTTGTTCGTAGAGTCCACTTTTCAGTCCCACTGTTCTTCCTTGAAACCTACCTCCACCTCTGACACTATTAATAAGCCTGACATGAACCGTAGAACACATCTAGCTCTTACAAATTACATTCATTGGATTAATGAGGACGCAATGATTAAAGGTCAAAAACTTGAAACTGAAAGAAACAATAGGCTACTGTTCAAATGTTGACAAGAGAGTGAAGCATGCTGGCACAAAGGAACAAAAAGCTTCTACTGAAGGAGGGGATGTTATTCAAAAGTAAAGCTGCGTCACCTTATATGTCTGGGGAAGAACATAAGAACTTGTTTTTGGATAGTTCATTATTTAGTTTGTTAGGTTTTTTTTCTTGCCCATGCCTATTGCTGATTTGAATCCGAATCTGGCTACATGCTAAATATGTTTAACTCTTACTGTAAGCTGCATTGTAACTTAACTCTTATGTAACTGCCAGTGATGTGTAGCCCACTGACAATTTGCCTGTTATTGAGTTAACACTTTCTTTGTGTTGTTGTATGCCTGGGCTTCTTCCTCTCCCCCTGTCAGCTTCTTCTTCTTCTTCGTGTGTCTCGTACCCTCAGGGGACGTACTGCTGGTCTCTGAGGACAACAAGTGCCAGATGGCTTCTAGATCGGCTGTTTCAAGACATTTTCCGCATTGATTTTTACAGCTCTGTCTGCCACTGGAGGAACAGAGGAAGGAAGGAGGAGGGAGTAGATAGCGAAAATGTGTCTGTCCGTGTGTGTGTGTGTGTGTGGTGTGTGTGTGTGTGTGTGTGTGTGTGTGTGTGTGTGTGTGTGTGTGTGTGTGTGTGTGTGTGTGTGTGTGTGTGTGTGTGTGTGTGTGTGTGTGTTGTGGGGTGGATGGTTGGAGAAGTATGGATCAATACAACTACTGAGTGCCTGTAAGAGGCTCTTAACACACTCACATGCAACATCTTTGTGAGATTCACATTTAAATACAAAACAATCATTATTATGCTTTATTCCTATAATTTAGGGTAACTCCCTACCAGCACTACAACAACAACTTATATTACACTTATACTACAACAACAACTGCCATAACCACTTCGACATCAATTTTTTACATTGTAACCTAAACTCTGGCTTCTTCCACCTTTCTTTGTCTCTGTTGTAGCAAATAAAGGTTGTGAACAAATGTAAACAACACAAAGAGGATTAGGAGGATGGAAGAACTTTATACTTAATGGATCTCCAGAGTAATGTCATGTTTTCAGTTTCTGGCTCAAACCACTGATCACCATAAGAGCAGCACAAAAGCTGTGTGTGTGTGTGTGTGTGTGTGTGTGTGTGTGTGTGTGTGTGTGTGTGTGTGTGTGTGTGTGTGTGTGCGTGCGTGCGTGCGTCTATAGCACACAACCTTTTAAAATCTGGGCATCTCAGCCCAGCTCCACACACACTGAGTGTTGTAATCGTATCATTCTGTTGTGTTGTTTTGGCATAGAGAAGAACTGCATGGAGAGAGAAAGGAAAGTAAGGGTAAAAAAGAGGCAAATGATTTCACCATCAGGGCTGAAACTCTAGGATGGTTAAACTTGAAATAAGGATGACTATGTCGTTTTTTACTGTTCAAGAATATTGTAAGCAAAGAGGAAACGATATATTGACATAATACTTTGTATGTCCTATCTCCAGAAACTCAAGCCCTCATCCTGTTTTTTAAAAAAATGCTGTCCCTGTTCCTCAGAAACAAACCAAAGCCTGTAAACATCGTATCCAGGTTTCTGGTCACTGTCTGCTGCAGTTTCTGTGCAGATGCAACTAGATCCGTTTTTTAATCTTCCACATGTACAACTGCACCCCGTGGAGCCTTCTTCAGCTCCACTGGCTGGTGCAGAGCCTCAGGCTTTGTGAAAGTTTCAGTTTTTCACATTCGTCAATTATTTCCATCTTGAGTAAACCAACAGTGGGAGGAAAGAGTGTTTAGATACAATATACGGGAAACTGACTGAAGACTTCTGAGGTGTTCAGAGGGTTTTGTAGTCAGAATGGTGGCAGATATTCATGAAAGCATGACTTCCTCATGCTGTTTTATGAGGATACTGCTGCAGATACAACAGATCTTAAGTTCATCTGAAACTCAATCACCCAACAGGCAACAACTATCCCCAACCACTGGCACCTTTTTCAGTCTTTACACTCCAAAAGAAGCACATATTGAATGACTGAGGACAAAACACATTTCTATTCTAGTTATAAATCTTCCATGCATGCTTAAAATTATATTAAGAAAGACAGTCAGCATCTGAATGACTCTCCTTTACCCAAGCAGACTGTAATGTTATCTGCAGACTATCAACAACAACTGGGCAAGAATGAGTGAGAATGTTTTAATTATTAAATCCTACAACATTCACAATGTGTATCCCTGCCTCACATTCCAACAAAACAATCGATATATTCAGAAAAACATCAAGTGTAGCTACTTTCTTTCCTTACATTTTTTAAACATATCATATCCTATTGTCAATGTTTTTACAACCCAGCATTGTTCCTTGGGGCTTGGCATGGCATACAAATAAAAATGCAGGTCATAGTTCAAGTCAGAGCTGGTCTAAAAAAGTTTTTAGGACAGAAAACTGGAGTTACTGAGCTGAGAGGGACCCTGAAGCGAGCCCAGAGGCTGGAGCTGTCTCCTGCCTCCAGATAACTACATCACACACGTGGAGTGCACGAAACCCTGAGTCCAGGCGGACAACACACCAAACA